ATCTCTCAGACACCACTGCATGAAAATATCTTACTTGAGGATGTCCGACCAACTCATATTGAAATTCATAACAAAGAACCTTGTGTGTACACAATGACGAAGAAAAACCTTGAGTAGATAGAAAACAACTTGCCAAGACAGAATCGTTCAAGCCAAAAAGTGAGTTCACACTCACTTGAATTTCAGATGAGAAGTCTAGAACTCATGAGTTTTCTCCTTCCTCGTCTGGTGCTAATGACAAGGAAATACATACTAAATATCCAATTCAAAATTATGTAGCTTATGAGAAACTATTCTCATTCCATAAATTTTTTGTATATACTCTTCATAGTCTGCAATTCTTAAATTCATTCATGAAGATCTTAAAAATCTAGAATGGAAGAAAGTATTGAAGAGGAAATTCAAGAGCCATGGATTTTTACTAAACTTCCTCAAGATAAGAAGCCAATTAGATGCAAATGAGTATTGAACATCAAGTACAAAGTTGATGGTCGTATTGAGAGATTCAAAGCTAGACTGATTGCATAAAAGTTTCACTCAAGCCTATGAGATTGACTATTAAGAGACCTTTGCACTAGTTGTCAAACTGAAAACTATTAGAATTCCCCTCTCAGTAGCATTTAATAAGGAGTGAGGATTGCGTCAACTTGACATAAAAAAATGTCTTCCTAAATAAGAATCTTGAAGAAGAAATATATATGGAGATACCATCAGGACTTGAGAATGATTCCAACAAATATCTAGTATGCAAACTCAAGAAGTCTCTCTATGGTCTTGAGCAATCATCAAGGGCATGGTTTGAAAGGCTCACTAAAAATATGAAATCTAATCTATATTCTTAAGGTCAAACTGATCCTACTTTATTCATAAAACACACTCAGTGAGGTAAGATTGTTGCACTAATAGTATATATGGGTGATATGATTCTTATAGGTGATGATGTAAGAGAAATTCTTAAAATTAATAAAATATTTGTCACTGAGTTTGAAATCTAGGACCTAGGAATCATAAGATATTTTCTAGGTGTGGTTTTAACATGGTCCAAAAAGGGCATTGTTATATCACACGAAATAAATCCTATATTTGCTAAAGGAGATAAGAATGATTGGATGCAAACATGCTAATACTCCAATGAAACACAGCAAGAATTCTAATAGGGGAGAATAAAGTATATTTGTGGATAAGGGAAGATATAAAAAATTGAGAGGAAAACTCATCTATCTATCACATACAATGCCAAATATTACATTCATAGTCATTATTATACGACAACATATGAATAACCCAAATAGATCATTTGGAGATGGTGTATAGGATCCTGAGATTTCTCAAGAAAACTTTTGGTTATTAATTAATTTTTTAGAGAACCAAAAATTGAGAAGTAGAAATCTACATTGGTGCAGGGTGGGCTGGGAACTCACTGACAGAATGTCCACAGCTTATTGTTTGTATGCATAGGAAAGTCTGGTCACATGGAGTAGTAAGAAGTAAGTTATCTCTAGAAACAATATAGAATTTTAGCATAGGGCATTTGCTTTAGGAATTTGTGGAGGGATCTAAATTTATTAATGGTTGAGAGAATTGGGGTGTACCTATAATAGGACTTATACAAATGTCTTATGACAACCAAGCATCTATCCGTATTGCCAAGAACTCTATGCATCATGACATAACCTAACACATTGAAATTTATAGGCCATTTATCTCTGAAAAAGTTAATGGTTGAATTATACAGCTAAGCTACATTCCGACACTTTAACAAGTTGTTTTAATGCCAAGGTTGGTCTTTATAACTTCTATGAACTAGCTTGAGGATGAGTGTGGAAATCTTGGATGATCGACCTCTTTTCCATGGTGAGCCCAAGCCGACCATTCAAGTTGTGATGGATGGATTAATTGAGGGAAATTTGGGAAACTCCTTGATTAGTTTTCATTCTCTTCCCATGTATGTTTATTTCAGAATTATTATTATTTCCTTTCCATGTATGTTTAGGCTAGATATATTTGGTAAGATTATAAATTAGGAGGGAATTGTTTCCCTATATATAGCTTTATGATCGAAGATTGGTAATGAGAATTGTTTGGGAATTCCATCCCACGTTTTTTCTTCAATAGTTAATTTTTTGTGATTTTTTCTTGCAAATCAAACATATCGTATAAATAATGTGAAGCAAATGAAAAAAATGCTAAAATTCCAACATGTGTTCTCTTGGATGCTAATAATTACTTTTAACATATTCTTAGTTCATAAATAGAATTGAAACTTGCTAACTCAAATATAGTGTGCCTATATGAATGACCAACCACTTTAAAGTTAAAGACTCATTCAGATCGTTGGAATTTTACAGTACAAATTTCTCTTAAGGCACTCCTTAGCCATTAAAATATTTACCTAATTTTAGTTTATCTTTAAGATTTTATCTATGAATTTGTTAAGTCCAAGAATCAAGTAAAAAAAAAAAAATCAAGTTTAGTCGATTATTAGCGATAATTTTTTAGGAAATTTCACTGATAGCTAAATCAATTAGTTCAATTGACCTATCGATTATATTCACTTTCACAATTGGGGATAGATTCAATTTGGTTGGGAAGGCTTACACTTGAGAATTGATTCAATCTCTCAAAGAAGGTTAGTGACAATTACTATTGGAATTTGATTCTGATTGCATTTTGAGTATGGATACAATTGAGAATTCTATTTCATTTTCAATTTCAGTTCTAATTCAAATTATTAACACTTGTTGTGTAGTTCGTGCCCATAAATAAGTTCATAATGTAATAAGAAGTCATCTTTCATGTTTAAAACATCTTTGAAAAATTATATATAAACTATGGTCTCGTTGATAAATTCATTTAACAAATGATTTTTGGGTGATGTAGATTTTGTTAGAATTTTTTTTTACTTGTTTTCTTATTTAGGGTCTGGCTTGCTGCTTCTGTTGTTTGTAAGATTAGTTAGTTATAGAACTGTTGTTAGATTTTTTTTTTTTTTTGAAATTGTAATGATATTATAGACATTTTTTTCTTTTAAAAAGATCAAATATCGAATTTTTATAGTCACTAGATCTTTCATATTTGGTTGCAAAAAATTGCTTTTCACCACAAAAAAAATTTAAAAAGCAGCAAGAAAGTTTTCACCAAACAGAACTGTGATAACTTTTTTGAAATCAAAGCTATGCAAAAGCTTTCCCAAAGAACATCTTAGTCAAAATGTCATCATTTTAGTAATTAGTTAACTGACTCTAATGTTGAGTCTCGTATCTATTCCTTCTTTACATGACTCAATTAATATGCCCTGTATTTATTTTGAATGTTAGTAGGAGTTTTATTGAAAATTTTCTTTTGAAAATCAAACATTAATTTTCTTATAGCTACTACACTATAGCATATTCGGTTGTTAAAAGTTGCTTTTTGACATGAAACTTTTTATAAATCAATAAAGAAGTTGCAGCCAAATAAAATTATATTAGCTTCCTGGAAATCGAAACTGTAAAAAAATTGTCGCACAACCCTTATTTAATATGCCACACCTTTGATAATTAATTGACTTTTATGTCAAGTCCAACTTCTATTCATTTTGATTCGGCTTGTTTAATATGCTCATTGTTTATTTGGCATAATGTTGCAAACTGAAGAGTAGATACCATTTCCTTACTTTTTTAAAAAAATTATCATAACAGGTCACATGTTTAGTTATCAATTTGATGTGGGATGTCTTGGGGCATATGTTTTACTAATTCAAATATTGGTTGAGATACAATATGATACAGAAACACACAAAAAAAAATCATTATTCGCTAATTCCAATTTTTAATTTTAGCAAAATTATTCTTCTTTGATAAATATCCGAAACACATTCTATTTATTTAAAACTTTAATTTAAAAGTTGTCAATATCTTAATTTCCACGTGAAAACTGAGAACCAAAGATTAAATTATACAATGATTAAAATTCACAACACAATGGAAAATTGGCTCCACCAATCCTAATGAAATTTCAATGACAGCATTGACCAATCACTAGATAATTTGGTAGGAAGCACGATGATGAAAATAACAAATTAAAAGATCAGTGTCTCACACTAGTACAAAGCACTAAAAAGAATCTACATCAACAACTCATGTAACAATTGAGTGAAATTTGAATTTTATCACGTGAGAAATTATATTTTACCTCACTATGGACTACTTTAATTTTTAATAAAAATATACCCATTAATAATAATTCCTCATACTTCCCTATGATCCGGCCTAAATCTTAGTTTTAATTGAACACATCTGAATTTCAGCAAAACTAAGTTCTTAACCTATATCGTTCAATAAAACAGCGACTTAATTTACTTAGGAAAAAAAAAATCTCAATTTCAACTATTTTGCAATCCAACAGTTTTGTCAAAACTTATATTATTTCTTTTAGAATGTAGTAGTAAATTTGTCTTTGACCAACAAATATTGTATGATTTAACATAAGTAGTAAGCGTTGTAATGCAACTTTATGGATATGAAAAAACAACCAATCAAAATTGTGAACTTTGTTTTCTGAGTTTCAAAACTTAAGCCTTTCTCGGGATTTTAAAATCCAGATTCCTTAAGATTTGACTTTATAATTTAATTTGAAGAACGTAACATGAGTTAAAGGGATTATCCAGCCTCCTTAAGCTGTGGCTTCATAAATTAACATGAAGGACCCTAACATTTAGATGGAAAATAATCCCATCAAAAAGAAAAAAAAAACCATTTCTTTGCATTGTTAGGTTAGATACAGGGTGGATATTACTCCACTCTACATTTCTTCTGTACCTAGTAGGGGCTTTGATCTTGCTGGGATGTATCTTAATCAATAACCAGGAGACTTCTTAATATTACTCCGCTCTGCATTTTCCAATTATGCCATTCCAACATTCTTTTTTTGTCTTTAAATTCATTTTCTTTGTGTGACCAACATACCATGTTCAGATAGTGAAAATTCAGTTGACCCTTCTTCATTCTTTGTGATTTCAGGAGGTGAACTCAAACTCAATGATCTATCCCCCGGCGAAATTAAGAAATTTCAGAGAGCAGTAGCAAATGGTGAGATGAGCAAATTGATAGAGCCATGGCATCCTTGGTGGACGAAACCTTCTGCAGCTTCAATCTCTCTTGGTCCCAATGGAAACCAGCTTGTCAAGCAAGTTGAAGAAGAAGAAAACCTTGAAGGTCCTTTAGGCACATCAGAGTTCAGCATCAGCGAGATACCTGCTGGGCCTGAAAATCCTTTACCACCACTTCATCAATTGAGCCGCACAGAGCCATCTCCTCTTCTATCAGTGCATTTGATTGATATTATTTATAGCTACTGCTTCACCCTTCGACTCTACAATGGCGATTGGCACTTCGACCCTTTAGGTGCGGCCACGGTAGTACTAACCTTATCATCGGTCCTTGGCTGCGACGGCCGACCAGAAACTGTTTCCGAAGCATTGGCTGCTTGCATGGAGCAGACCTGCTCACCTGCTCTCTCACATGCAGGAGGCTTCAACTTTGGACTGATGCTCATTGATGATGCCATTTGTCTGCTTTCTTTAGGCGCAAATGCTATCATTTGTTCGCTCGAAGAGCGATGCTTAAATCGGAAAATATGGAGAAGGCGAAGAGAACCGAGAGTAGTCAGAAGCTCAAGGGAGTGGATAGGAAGATTTTTTTTCTTATGTGTTGGGTTCATGAGCAATCTGAGGAGGTTTGGTCATCTTTGGCTGGTATTGTAGGTGTTGAGAAAGCTTTTCTTTCTGAATTGGGTCAGAATAGAGGAAATTATTACAAAGGTGCTTCTAATTCCAGGGTTTTTGTTGAGGAGGTTTAAGACATATGATCTGATGAAGTAAGAAACTTGAAAACTGAGATGATGTCTATAATATAGACGTGTCATCCGAGAGTTTTTGTAAGTATATTATGTTTGTGCTCTAATGTGTAGCATATTGATTAGAAATAAAGTGAAAAATCTTAAAAAATTGGGCTTGAGAAGCTACTTCGCTGAAAAAATCTTAGCTTTTATCTATTATTTTTATTTTGAGGGATTAGTATTTTAGGGGCTGTTTGGAACCATTCTTTGTTTTGGTTTTCAAAATACAAATAATAAAACAAAAAACATGTATTTTTACTCATTTTATAGTATTTAAATTTTTTTGTTTTTAAACATTTTTAAATTATTTTAAAAAACACAAAAAATAGATAAAATGTGTTTTCACTAAATTTAAACTTTTTTGCAAGCAAGGGACCTGGTTCTGATATCAACTATCTTACGCTACCTCTCCTTTTTCTTTTCTCCCCTTCGATTGAGTGGCATTGATCCCTTCAACCGACGTCAAACATTGCCAGTAAAAGTGGACGTTGACTCCAAAGTTGATGTTGACACTTTCCGTCTTTCTTCCTGGAGCTGATTTCAATAGTTTACCAAGGCTGTCAAGCTGCTATGTTCGTCACTGCTCTTCATTTCTTCCTCAAACATCTAAATCATAGATCTACAGTGAGCTTCTTCTACCTCTATTATCTCTCAGTTTTTATCTTTTTTTATATTTACTGTTTTGATTATGTGTTGTTAGATTAGGGATCTATTTTTAAACATCATATATTTTTATGCTATTCATATAACTTTCAGTCATTTTCTTATTTCTTTTTCGGATCTAGAGTTTGAGAGTACTTTGGCATAATAATTGTAAAACTTCCATAATCATTGTTACATTTATTTCATTAACCAGTAAGATTGAATTGCTATTAAGTGTGAAAAATACACAATCATTATTCTGCTTTTGCATATACTTTTACCTGCTTTTTGATTTGGCAAATGTTCTTTTCCAAATCATCGATCCTATGGTTTATATTCTTCTCCACCTGTAGAAATGACGCTCTTGTTTCCTCTAGTTTAGTGTTATTAAACATCAGATTTTTCTCAGGCAGACTAACCAAGATAACTCTAAGCCCATTGAATACACATAAGATCATTATGCTTATTATTGAAATTATAGTAATACCTCAAGAATTTTAATTTTCTCACTCAAAACTGTAACTTCCTAGGAGCCTTGGGATGCTGAGCCATGTTTATGAGTTTTATTTCTTTCAATTGCTTTCCTGACATTTGTGATTGAATTTGCAGATCTTGTATTTACCTTTGAGTTTTTTCTCAAGAATAGTAATTTTCTCATCTCTTTTATTAAGGTAACTTTGGAAGTGAAAGTCCCGTTTCCTTAAATTGTTATCCATCTCATCCTTAACAGCCAAACAGTTTGAGCATTTAGATCCTTCTTTAAGGTTCTCAATATCAAAGTTTAGGTTTTTTTTTATTACTTCCTTGTCTTTTACTATGTTCTTCTGTTTTTGTAGATCTTTCGCTGACTTCAAGAATTTTTCGTTCATTGAAGCAAGTTCATTATTAGGCATCTCTTTTTTCAAGCTTTTATGGTGTAACTTTATCTCAATTTCTTTATTGAACATTTTCAATTGTTCTATCTGTGCTAGCAATCTTTGCTTTTGAACTCTCTTTGATACTTTTTTAACCTGATCTTCTAGCATTAGAATTTACTTCTGCCAGAGCTTTTAGTTTTTCTTCCTCAGATTTCTTTTTATTGTCATTTTCCCCAGTCTTTGCTTTGAGTTTCTTTAGCTACTCTTCAATTTCTTTTGTTTTGGAATCTATGGAGAATGATAATTCCATGAGTTGCACATCATGCCCATGATGCAACACTGCGAATTCTTCTTTAGTTTGCTCGAGCAGGTTTTTTAGATAACATTTCTGCAAATGCATTTCATTAGCTTCGGCCAGAGCTTGAATTGCTAGCTTCTCATTTATGTGAAATGTAGAAGATATTTTTCAAGCAACTGTTATAGAGTCTTTTGAAGTCTGTCTGCAAGTTGGCATTAATTTTTATATTCAAATGTGGTCTCTCCTCGATTTGTGTGGCTCTCTTCTCTTCCTCAAGTGTTGTTTTCATGACATTTTCTATATTAGCTTTGTATGCTTTGGACTGTCCCTGAAGCTCTTTTTTCATAATTCTGGCTTTGACTTGGAGGGATTTGGCAATGATTGAATGCTGGGAGCTCTCATGTTGCATATTTTCCTTTGCATGTGCTTGCTTAAACTTTTAATAAAAATTATTATTTTTCTACTTGAGATTATCATAATCTGCTTTTCTTATACATCTCTTTGTTTTCATAGCTCTTGGTTGATAGTTGGGTTTTTGTGTTTTCAGCATCATTTTTTTTAGATTTACCTGTTCATAATTTCTAAACTACAATATTTAACTATTTATAGATTATGGATGCTAGTTATAAAATTGAAATCAGGGGAGGCAGTTTTATCAGAAAAAGACGAATAAAATTTTACTCAACTTGTGGAATTTAAAGTCATTAATGAAAATAGTCAAACAGTCACTTTTAGTGTTTTATGATCATGCGTTATGCAAGGCCTTGAATCAACAATAAAAGGAAAATACAAACAAGGTCAATTGAGAAATAAGTTCAATACAATTAGAGATCTTTGGAAAATTTTTTAAATTTATTAAAAGATACTTGAATAGGTTATAATGCAAACACAGATCAAGTGATTGTATGTAAAGATTTTTGGTCCAAGTTATATATGAAACTTATTTCATAATATGTTATATCTAAAACTTATATTTATTAGTTATATATATTAAAAGTTATATTGTTTGTTTAACAATATTTATTTCAACAAAAAAGATTCCCAATCTATGACTATTTGATTTATAGAGACATCATTGTAAGGGGCAGTCTTCAACATCTAGACCAAATTGAACTTTGAAGAAAAAGACGAACCATAGATAGATATATGGATAAGAAGTATGATGTTGCTGGACTTGAAGAAAAATTACCTTCAAAGCAGGTTAAAAAGACGAACATTTCAGATGGTATTAAATGAAAGCTCTAAATGATGGATGATATGGCAAAAGAAAATTTGCATGTCATCAAGATATTTATCCAATTTCTTACTGATTGATTGCATGAAATTGTTTAATTTATTGAATGATCTAGACGACGTGAGCTACTCTAAGGCTTTACAAAAGTTTCAGAAAATTCACTATGGATGAAAATATTTTTCATGCGCCTAAAAGCAGGAGTGTTGGATTCTTACTTTGAAATGATCTTTTGTTAGGTTCATAATGTTTTTTTTAATGAAATCATATGCTATCTATAATTTATTTGTAGGCTGAGATCATATCTAGATTTTTTTATGCTAGGAGTGTTGGATTTTTATTTGTGGCATTATTAGGATAGTTGTATACTTCCATAATTAGATTTGTTAGGGAGTGATAACTCTGAGAAAATGACTATATATATATAGTAAGTATGCTTTTCAGCATTTATATAAAAATGAGGTTGTCCAGCAATTGAGCTGGGCTTTAATCTTGTATATATATATATATATCTAATGGTGTTCTTGAGCTTGGAACCGAAGAAATGGTGAGCAGAATACAAAACTTTTCAATAATATATATATATATATATATATATATATAGCATACTTACTGCTTGCCCTTCTTATGCACTCAAAATGTTATGTATGAAGAAAAGTATACAACTATCCCTTGGAAGAATCTTCAACAAATTTTTGTGGGTTGGGCAAAAAAGCAAATGCACTGGTTACCTTGGCAGAAGCTGTGCATACCTATACATGTAGGAGGCCTTGGTTTTAAAAACTTCCAACACCTTAGCTTCAACAATTTGTGTAAGTTGTGGATTAAATTTAGAGGCCAGAAATGTCTTTGGGCCAGATTCATGATGGGTAAATACTGCAGAAATGTGCATCTCACCATTGTTACAAGGAAATTGGGAGATTCAAGGTTGTGGTCTCATTTATTGGCAATTAAACATCAAGCTGGAGAGTTATTCAATTGGGAGTTAGGGGAGGGCCAGATTAATTTCTGGCTTGATCAGTGGATCTGGAGTGGGGGGAAACTCCATCCTAATAATGCTACGACCAATTACAGGTGTATGGCGAATTAGTGTTGGACTGATAACCAATGGAATTGCAGATTGCTGGACACTCTTCTCACTCCTGACCAAGCTAATCTGGATAAGAGTAACCCATTGTCCCCCGGGAAGAAGGATATAATTATTACAAAGGAAGCCTTCTCACAAAAAACTGTCATCCTTCATCTATCAAAAATTTTTCCAATGGGAGAAAGTTAGTTGGGGCAAAGCCATTTGGGGGAAATTACTAACCCCATCTATGTATTTTTTGTGCTAGAGGCTATGACTACTACTACTACTTACTGATGATATTTTAAAGCTCAAGGGATTGACGGGACCTTCCTGCTACTGTCTCTGTAAGGAAGATGAGGAATCAATTGACCACTTGTTCTTCACTTGTTCCTTTGCTCAAATAATTTGGTTCTGCCTTTTAGACAAGTTGAAGGTGGATAACTTCAAACTGAGCTAGTTTAAATTCTCTGTCTACTGGACTGATTGGGAATATGCTAATCTCTTAGTAATTCCCTGCATTGTGGCTTGATTCATTTCGATGCTGAGGAATCAAACAAAATTTGAAGGCAAGCAACCAATGACAACCTCAGTGATCAATAATTGCATCTCTAACATC